CTGGGGAGAGGGCAATAAGAGAAAAAAGATAGATGTTCTGGTTACCTAGTGCTGCTCTGACAGAAAATACCACAAATGGGAAATGGGATGGCCTTAACAAACAGGAGTTTATTCTTACAATTTGGAGGCTAGAAGTCTGAGTTCAAAGTGGCAGCCTCTATGGGCTGGGTGAAAGACCCTCAATGTTGAGCTTTAGCTCTACCTCTTGCTCCCAGCCCATTAAAGCTACAGGCATCTCTTCACTCAGGGAAGTACTGGCTGCTGAGGCTAACAAGCCCAAGGTTGACAAATAAAATGGTACATTCCTGATATTACCAAACCAGATGGCAGGCCATTAATTTAAGCCCATTGAAAGTTCCAAGGTTGGCAGAGCATGGCAGGCTGCTGACCAATGACATGGCTACATGCAGAGTTCAAGTGTTCCATAAGCTACAGACTGTTCCCCAAGGCTTCTGCTTATATACAGGAAGCAGACCATATCCCTAAGGCAGCTACTCAGCTGCTCCCAGTAGATTCCACCATAGAGTTGATTACCAGTCTCATCATGGGAAACACTACATCCAGCTGCCCAGCCACTCAACCAGACCTAGCTAATTTGACACACAAACTTAACTACCACAGGAGAGTAGGAGAGTAATGAAGAAAAAAATGTGAAAAATATAAACAAGAAGTGAGGTTAACCACTAGAAAGAAAAAAATGGGCACCAGGAACAGGGAAGAGAGAAAAGGCTGAAGACCAGAACCTGGGAAGGGAAGAATAAATAATAATAATAAAAAGGACAATAATAATAATAATATAAAAACAGACAAAAACAAAGTAATTAAAAAAATAAAAGGAAAAAAATATCTGGGCAGGGCAGGGCACCCAGGCTTCATCAGAGCACACAGACTGGGATGGAATTCCCACCGGCCCAGAAGGTGTGTGAGAGTGAGGGATGGCTGCACCTCCATTCACCAATAGGGTGTGGGGTATAAGAGTAACAAGGTGAATATCGCACCTTTCCAGTCTTTGACGTCTGGAATGTCCTTGTGGTTCCTGGCAAGTGGAGACTATTCTTAAGTCCCTGGAATCTGGGAGAACACTGTTGTTTTAAATATCCAAAATGGTTGAACTGCTTGTAAACATTCAAAATGGCTGTGGCTTCTGGACAGGCAAAAGTCCACAC